AAATCAGACTCAAATGCCACTGAGAATCTGCATTTGTATGCGTATCTTAACAAAAAAGGGATAGAAGCGCTTTGAAGTGGCTCCACTAGGAAAGAGCCATGCTGATGGCTAAAATGGTTTGAGTGCKGAGATAGAAGGCTTCAAATATTCATCACCCAATAAAAAACACTGCCTGGACCTTTACCTGAACGTGGACTGCCTTGGTTCTGTCAGTTCYGAGGGAGGCCTTGCATAAACCACCATTTTAGAAGTACTTGGGGTCTGGCAACTTTTTGAGCACATTCCTGATGTAAAGCTAATGATATCTATTGTAGGACCCTTCAATAGGTACACTGTGGTTAGGGTTGGGCGATATTGGCAAAAAAATATTAATCACGATTAATTGTGGTATTTAGCCGATAACAATTTTTATGACGATTAATCCCCTGGAGTCCCTGGATGCCCTGATATCCTAGTCACATGACCAATTTAAATCACTCTAGTGGGAAATATTTGCTCTCTGCAAAAATCTGTTCCAAATTGTGTCAAAAGTACAGATTTCAGGGTATGCATCAATTTTTAAATTGTGTTGCTAGACCATGTAAAACCGGAGTTATGCTAAATAAATTGCAGAACCTTTTTTAAAAATGTTCGTCATATTTGAAGCAGAGAGGCGAACTGAGTGGACTGACTGGGGAAATCTCCAGTCAGTCTGCCTGGAGGCATTAAGCGTCAAGTGCCAAAAAATAATCAATTAAAGTTTTTCTGACAATTAATTGCCCACGATAAGATTTTGCCCAACCCTAACTGTGGTACATTGATGGTTTTATAGAATCATGGTTTCCCCCAGAAAAATTGCTACCTTGCTACTCGCTACCTTGATAATGCTAGGTCCAAGCTATTTATCCAGTTGCCACATTATCCGCTGGCGTTGACTCTAAAGAAACAAACGTTGCTTAGCCTGGTGGGGGGAGGGGTCAAGTAAAGCCTGGTGGCCCGCCAGTAAGAATTTAGATCGGGTCTACAAAATCCAACCCGACATGGGCCGAGCCCATAGAAAATGTGTCTAAGCCCAATTCAATCTGACTAATTAACTAATTAGAGGTCCGAACCTGAAGTAAACCCAACATAATATTTTTCATTAAGCTTTTAGTGCTTTTGTTTTTAGACCATCATTTTAGTTTTATAAGCAAACCAGATAGGAGCGGCTGCTTGTCTGGTCCTATTGAATGCACAACTAACATCCACGTCTAACCCTACAACTCCAGTGTGGAAAAAAGAACTGCTGCTGTTGTTTATAGGCCTCGCTATGTACGACGTACAGCAGGGGGGCAGAGGGAGAAATAATGATGATTTATCCCCTACGATACATTATTTCAGTTATATACAAGAAAATGATCAAATTTATTGTAGTGGTACATTAGAAATGATCAAACTACCCTAACTACCCCCAATTTTATGAGGATTTTTGGAGTTTAATTTTTGTATTATACACATAAATAAAGTAGCTTAACTCAACTTTAGATAGTTAATTTTTGTTCAGGTTTTTCTGTGCTGTATGTATTCTAAGTTTATCAAAAAGGCACCAAAAAAGCCCAAGCCTGACCTGACCACRAAGCATATGATTTTGGCCTGAATTGAGTCAGGTTCTGGCTATAAATCTAAACTCTACCACCAGGCCTATACCACGTGGGACATAAAGAGTTATTTCAACAGAAATATTATCAAATCAGAATTGACCCTAGGCTGCACTGTAAGTGATACAGCTAGCTGATGCCGCCACTATTTGAACTGTCAGGTAATCAGAATTCTGTGATAATAACCATATACAGAGAAAATTMCAGCAATGTAAAAGTCCATGAAATAACATTTGAATGAACCACTGAAAATTTGGAGATTGAAGCCATTTATAGAAGCAGYAATCCACTTTGGTCCTTTCTGTGTACTGACWAGCCGTTAGCTCATCAGTCCTGTCAACCGTAAACTTTTTTTTTTTTTCAAATTGAGGCTGTTTAAGAAGCTATCAACAAATAGTAAGATGTTAATGGTGCATTATTTGCCATCTTACTTCATACTGGCCAGAATAGTCCATTAAAACTAATCTAAAATCCAACATTAAACCAACTCTTTAACTGAAAKCTACAGTTTATGGCAAAATTAACTGCATAGATATTCTTTGAACATGTACTACATGTATCTGCAGAGTGACTTTTAATTTTACTTATAATTCCAGTTCTATTAAACTTCTGTTGTATAAACAATATTTTAAAAGGAAGATAAGCCGAACAAGAAGAAATAGTGAGTTGTAATATTTCACTGCCCTCTGCTGGACAAGAGTTCAGCTTCCTAAATTAATTTAAGCCTAATGTAAGAAAGAGAACAAGGTATTATTGTTGCACATAGATAATCTTTGAGCCATTGCAAATGTCATTGAAAAGTGCAGAGCACAGTGGCATCGAGCGTTCCTGGAGCCACAGCCAGTAATTAGGTCTGACATTTCACTCTAAAACGGTCATTAGTCACTTCCAAACAGGCCTGATGTGATAACTGTAATATCGCCAAATTGCGGCAATTAGAAACGGTTTGCTGCGGGGGCCTGAACATTTTCTTTGGCGCTCAAAATGTCAAACAAAGGGACAATCTCATCAGTGCAAGGAAGATGAAAATGAGCTTTTATTAATGTGTCATTATGATAAGGTGTCCAATATRCAATGTTGGTCATCCAGAGAGAGTGTTGGTGCTACAGTTCAGAGTGTGTGAAAAGCCTGAGAACACCACGTAGAAGTTTCTATACAAGCTAGATTTGAAAAAAAAAAAAGGTTTTTTTTAATTACCTTAACTGTTAACAACTACAGAAGACTGTTAAAGACCTACCTGCTGCCACTCTGAAACTTTTAGTTTTTAGATAACACGTGAAGAGAAACTGAACACAAAAACAGTTTTGTAAAATGGGTAAAGTCTGAGATAAATGTCCAAAAGTTTAATTTCCCACAAGAAATTCTAAAATATGGTCACTTGTTGAAAATTAACACTAGTTGTAAAAAAATAAAATAAAAATAAAAAACTTTTATCCAGGAACCATGATCAGGTGAAGTTTTCTCTTTATTTTCATATAAATATATGAGTCCCATTCAGACAATATAATTAAGTGAAAGATACAAACAAAAGTTTGCATACTGCACGAACAAAGATAAAAAAAAATCTCAGTTTAAGGATAACTTATAAAGTGCACTTACAAAGTGCTTTTAATAAGAATATAGCAAAGTGTTTTGATTCACTAGTACATCTCATACTTTTCTAAAGTGATTAAAGATGGCCTTATTTAATTTTTTGCTAAATAAAATGATATACATTTGTAATAATTAATATAAGTGCCTCATATTTGTTTTCTTTAACAGTAAATTGTCCTTTTTATTACAGTGTTTCCCAAACGAACCTAAAATTCACATTATATAACTGTTATTTAAAATACAGTGTAAAACTACTTTTTGTATCTTTTTTTKGACTACAGCAGTCTCTAAAGTTTTGGTGGCGAGTCCAACCTTCAAATCTGCAACAACACAGGTTCTCTTCCCTTGACTGAAACTACTGTTGTGTTCCAGCAACACTTCACCTAAACAGGTTTATCTTTTTTTATGCCAAAAAAGAAAATCAAACTTGATTTTGCACAGACAGCTTTGTACTTGGTGTTAAATGTTGTAATGTTTGGATGCTTGAGGCAGTCATCTCTCAACTTTCCAAAAGAACTTGGTGAAACCTGAACGAACGAAGTACGTACGTACGTACGTACTTACATACGTACTTACGTACTTACGTACATACGTACATACGTACCTACATACATACCTACATACATACATACATACGTACCTACGTACATACATACATACATACATACATACATACATACGTACGTACGTACGTACGTACGTACGTACGTATTTATTTATGTATTTCTGTATTTATTTAGATTTTTCATTATGTAAATCAAAAATGCCCATGGTCTCCATCCTGAAGGCTGGAGAAAAATTTAAATGATCCACATAAAAAGGTAGCAGTGCTGGGAACTAAGGTATGAAATTTTCTGAAAAAAAAAAAAGATCACCTCATTATTTCCTTCACTGCTGTTTTTTCTTTAAATATTACACCAAAACAGCAAAAAGTTTAAGTCTTGTACAATAAAATGAATGTAATTTGTCTGACTACTAGTATTATCTCTATAATTAATTTTTGCACTTTCAGCCAGGATWTAAACTTATGAGCACAACTGAACGGCAGTGTGTTTTATTCTGAATAAGGTAGTTAAACACYGCCCTCTGCTGGTTTGAATAAAACATAAAATAACAATATTCCAGTGGTCCTCAATTTTTGTCTCTAGGGTCACTAAGCTTCCTGTTTTAGATGTTTCTCTGCCTGAGTGATTAAAGGCTTCCGCAGAACTTGGAGACCTGTTGAAGAGAAGGGAAACAACTAAAACATGCAGGATCTTGGCCTTCTGGTCCTCATGGACCAAGATTAGGCACTTTTTATTACCATGTAATCAGAAATCCAATTTTTGATTTGCAAATACTGAAATTACATCATGCTACGTTTCAAACCATGTATTTTAAAGAAGYAATTACGTACTAGAAGTTCTTGGGTCTTTAACCATTCAATTGTTAGGGTTATTCTAAGATGTTTAAAGCAAAATAAAAAAAATCTCTGTTTAAGAGGTAAATAACTTGCTGCTTCCTTACCTTACATAGTGAGTCACTCCATATATTAGCAGTTATCAGGAAGTAAAGTGTGTATACGTGAAATAAAAATACCATGTCGATCATAACTTCACTAAACAAACAAGCTTTTAACAAAGCAACTGAACAAAACATTACAAAAGTTACACAAATATAAAAAAGTTATATTTAGAAATGTTTCTACACTGTTAACCATGCATCAGTGTACTTATGCCACAAAGAGRGATGAAGACACATTAAGGATGAGAAAAGAGAAGTTTAAAAAGGAGGGAAGTGAAAGTAACCAACCCGTTTGATGGAGCTGCGGCTCTTCTCCTTCCACTCGTGACTGTTCAGCTCCAGAGTGCAGTGAACATTCGTCTCYCTGTCATAGGAACCCAGGATGAACAGTCTGTGGGCACAGGACCGGATGAAGGGAATGTAACAAACATTTAGAAATGAGTTCTCCTCAGTTTCTGTTTATCAGAATAATCAAATGATACARCCAGCTCTACTGTTTCACTGGTGCTCGCAAGAATCCTGTATTATTAGGTTGTTAATSTTTAAAAGTTAAAGTACAGATACATTTAACACTGTGAGGTTATTTTCTCATTCAATAATCTTTGGTTGTTTACTCCGTTCAAAGAATTTATTAAAGCTATTTATTTAAATGTACTTTTACACAAGAGAATAAAAAATATGTATGTTGATTTGAAGGGATGATGAAACAAACCAGTCCTAAACAGATTATGTGTTTTTATTTCAAGCTGCAACACTGTTCCAAAATGTTTGAAGACAAAGGGGAAAAGACCCCTCCTTTCAACAAATGTTGTCTCTTTATCTCCCCCTACTGGACTGAGGCCATCAGTCCATGTTTTATACCATCTCTGCTGGGTCTATTGTCAAATTTCCTCAGACATAAAATACAGAACAACATATACAGAAAATGAAATAAGYCAACATGCTTCCCTCTTCTGGATATTTACAGTAATAATGACCAACTGGTCTCACTCATACAGGTGATGTAAGCAGGAAACAGCTTCCAAACAGACTCATACAGTGATGTGCTGGATAGGATGGGGTAAGAGGAGAGAGTGGATGATTATAATGGGCAGCACTCATTAATAATAGATTAGTCTGATCCAATCATTTGTGGTCTATAAAACACACCCWTTGTRAACTCGTACACAAAMACWCACAACTTGTTTGTSTCTCCAGCACAACAGAGGAACAGGTTGTGGTTAATTGATCCACGTCTTTTGCAAATTAAAATGTTCCCAATTGAGCTTAAAGCAGGAAGGCAGAGTGTTTGATAAGGTAAAGTGCGGTCAGCCCACTACAAAGATCTTTGGCTGGCTTGTGAATATAAGAGCAACTTAAACTGAGCTAAAAAGACTACAGTTACCCTRAAAGAGGGACATCACATTGGTGCCAACTTGACCCTTTTAGGTCCTGAAGACACCAAATTATAGTCAAACWATATCAAATATTATTAAGTATTTTTGGAGGCTTAGTGTCTGATCCAGGTTTTTTTTTCCTATAGAACCATGAGCACACTGATCGGAGGTGAATTCAGCTGAAAGAACCGCCGACTCCAAGAGCTAACTTTAGCAGCAGCTAAACTGGTGTGCCAGTGTCTCAACCACATCAATACGTAATGCACTGCAGATGTCAGATAGGGCGTAAGGGAGGAGTCACATTTTCTGAATTTACAAAACAGTGGCTTGACTCTGAATCTTGTTTTTTTTTTTCCTTTTTTTTTATTTAACCAGGCAAAACATTAAGAAGAACTTCTTATTTACAATGTCAGCCTGGCAGAAAAAAAAKAAATAACACAATGCTTAAAATGTTATAGTTTTACCAGCACTTCAACTGTATGTGTAGCTAAATCTAACAAATTCCTGTAAAATTTCAGAATTATCACTAAAACGAAACTAATTCTTATTTTCCTCTCTCTAGGAGTTACACCACTGCMTTTTACAATATGAGGAATATCTCATCAGAAACAAACACTTAGCGCTGTATAAAACATAAAATGATCCCTCTAAAGAGTCCTAACATTATAGTTTTATCTTTTTTTTTAAGAATGAGAGCAAACAAGCACTCAAACAGCCTCATATTGTGTCTGTGGGAAGTGAGTTAATGCTGATGGGTCTGAGTAGTTTTCCTTCCTTATATATTTTAATAAGACCATAAATGCACCACACCAGGGTATAATTTGTGGTAGTTTGCAGTTCATGGCTTCCTTCTTTAAAGTGCCAGTTGGGTTCCTCCTCGGTGCCTCATAGGAAACAGCATCACTTAGTAATGGAGGTATTTTCCTGTAATGGTTGGATTTTTTGAAGGCTATGCTCATCTTACCATCTGCAGTTAAAAAAATRGCAATGCTTTGGTTCTTCCTGAGTGGTGATGCCGCTTTCCTTTCCTGGAATGTAAGGTTAGAAGGAAGAGGCTTAGCACGGGAGAGAGTAGGCATAAACTGGCACGCAATTCGTGGAAAGTGAAAAATATAGGCCCCATTTCTGTCTTCTTTCATTTATTGGTTTTTATACTAAGATTTTTAACACTCTTGTATAATCTTGAAACCAGTAATAGGCTAATGCTTGTGAGAGAGTTACTAGCATTCATTTAAAGTTGTTCTGCCTCTGCAGTGCTTAACTTATGGCTAACTCAGTGGCACTGATGAGGTCAATAACTGGTATTTCTTGTGGGAACTGGCAAAGTTAGGTTCTTTAGTCAGAACCGCTCCATCAGGCTGTGTCATCTTTCTTTCCGACACATTGCTCACAAACTGGTTTTGAAGTGTCCGAGTTGTAAGAGATCTCATGTTCTCTTATGGTGGACTCAAAACAGTGGTGGTTTTCCACTGTTGTGTCTCTGAAACTGTTCCGTAGTCTTCTTGTGTTGAGAAAACTGGGCTTATTTAAGGAAGCTACAAACTTCTTTTGTGAGTGAGGAAGAAAAAAGTGCTTCTGGGCAGAAATGATCGATTCTGTGTGAAAGTGCTTTCATGAGATGACCTTGTCGTATCCTCTCACTAAATAACTTGTTCTGTTTCTTCAGAAAGCTCTTTCTTCCCTATGGCCTTTGATTTATCGGGCAGTCGTGTGCTGTTAGGACTGATGTCTGCATCAAAGATARAAACAAAGAAGGTTCCTGTAATCTTCTGATACTCCTGAGGTGTTCTTCCCAAACTACAACGCAACACTTTGGTTCAGAATCTCAACCATTAAGGAGAGTCCTCTCCTATGTAGTTCAATAAAAGGGAACTGAACTCTCATTTCTAATGAGGACATCTCCCGCCTCACTGAAAAGTAGGGCCTTATGATTTTTGTGATTTGGACAACACAGACAGAATCTCTGGCTGTACCTCTCAAAATGGAATCCAGTATAAACCACAGACTCTCATGGAATTTGCTCATTTGGGCGAGTTTCTGAGGTATTTTTTCCACTGCCACTCCCTGTACCTGTCGTTATCCGGTTATGAACACTCGGGGTGAGCTCTCYTCTCCACACAGACGGGGAAAAAAAGGTCAGCCATTGAGAAGAGGCTCTCTGAAACATGAACATCTTTCAAATTAAAGAATGCAAAGTTTAGTGTAAAGTTTAGGGCAGAACATTTTCCCAGCAATTTCTATGAAAGTGGAGAACAACTTTTCTGTAGGTTTTGTCAACACACGATCGACTGGAMCGGGCTTTTAGGTAGGATTTTAGAGGCGGGTGTCAAAACAACCTCCACCCCCTAGATGGGTGGAAAAAAGTTATGGACGGACTAAAACTGGTGGATGGCTGTGGTGAAGAGGTTAGGGGAGTTGTCCTGTAATGCCTGCTGATGGTGGTCAGAGGGTCCAGTGGTGCCAGTGCATGGTAGCCCAGGCTCTGTCAGTGTGCCCCAGTGTACCATCATCAGTGTGTGAATGGGTGAATGACAGTAGTGTAAAGCACACTGGGGTCCCCATGGGGCTTGATATACAAGTTCAGTCCATTTAAGACCGGTGATTAAAAGCATACCAAATACATCACACTGAAGCTGTAACATGTGCTGCCCACCTCCTGTATCCAGGTTAGTTCAGCTTATTCTTTGTGTCTTCCACTGGCTTCATAAAATAATTGCCTCTGCCGCTTACAAAGTTTATGTATGTTTACGAAATTTATGTAGAGCAAAAAAAGAAAAAGAAAACTCAGCTGAGGTGTCTGCTGATACAGGGTGTCGTAAAACAAACCCGTTTTTATGACGCAGAATTCCTGGACTGGACTCGTAAAAATGCATAGGATGACCAATTACAGTCAACTTTCAGGTACATCAGTAAAAGAGAGGAGTGAGTTTATCAAAGATGTTATTATGTGTGCTGAATCAGATATTCCCTTAGGAAAAAAATTAAAAAGCTTAGTTAGTTTTTGATAAAACACTGTAAACAAGGAGGGGCTCTGCCAAAACCGAAGGAAAAATTAGCTTAGCTATACAATAGGCACGTGTGCACAGATTGTTAAGGTTTGTAGGTTTTGTTACTTTGACATATTTAATAAGTTCTCTAAAGCATTTTTATTTTACAAAAGGATTTTTTTWAATGTAAGATTCTATGTTTTAAACACAAAGAATGTAAAAAAGACTGCAAAAGCATTTATTTTTCTGCAGAACCCCAGCAACTTGTTATATTTGTGAAGGTGATATAACAGCCATAAAATTCTAGCCTGGCCCTTGCCTTCCTATGCAGTTCCACTCAATTCTAGTTTCCCTTCACTGCTCCGTCTGGCATTTCTCCAATAGAGAAGGATTTCTTCGGGAGCATTTCATTTGGGCCAATCAGAGAACAGAACGTCGATTTTCTGCGCAGTGTCTTCTAGTTAGTTTAGCAATGGCAGTGGAGGAAGTGAATGAAGCCAGTCCGTGTTGATAAGGATTCCAAATTAAAATAACATTTGTCTGACAAAGCAGCAGCTCTCATTTACAGTTGTCTCGTTTGGCTCGGTACTTCTCTCTTCTCAGTAGGGTTGTTTACAGAGTAGGGCTGGGCAATATCTCGAGATTTTAAAACTATCRAGATTTTTTCAAAAGAGATACAAGACGAGCCTATATCGTTTATATCGAGATGSYCTAYGTTGCATTTTAATTATTATTTTAGATCCGCCAATTCTGTGTCTGTGCTGAACTTCCCACGGCCCCTCCTCCTTCCCACTCTGAAGACAAATCACCCCTCCCCTACGCGCCTTCCGGCAGCTAGCTAAGCTAGAGCTAGTATGAAGATTAGCGTGCAGCATGAACACTGAACAGCCACGACAAGACGGAAGGTGAGAGTGAAAGCACGGGAGAGGATACTGAAGAGCACTTGGTGAGCAAAAAGAAAAACAACGGCTCACTCATTTGGATATGGTTCGGATTCAAAATCACGGATGAGCAGCAGAAAGACGTATTTTGTAGAGAATGCCGAAAACAAGTTCCGACAAAAAGTTCGAGCACTACATATCTTTTCCACCATTTAAAACAGCGCCATAAAAAAGAATACAAAGAGKGTGTGAAACTGCGTGCTGCAGCTCAAACTGTGAACTCTTCCCAGCCTCCTGCACCAAAACAAACCACATTACAAAATGCATATACTTGTGCAGTGCCTTATGAAAGAAAAAGTGAGAAGCGGCGCATGATTACTAAGGCTGTGGCACATCATATCGCTAAAGACATGGTCCCGCTCTCAACTGTGGAACAAGATGGCTTTATRCAGCTGCTAAATGTCCTTGACAGAAGATACGAGTTACAGAGTAGGAATTATTTTGCCAGAGAAGTTCTTCCACAAATGTATACTGACGTTAGAGATCGTCTTGCCAACCAGCTTCCAAAACTGTCTCACTTCGCACTAACCATCGATATGTGGTCCAGCCGGACCTGCGAGCCGTACTTGAGTGTGACCATATATTTCATTGAAGACTGGGAGTTGAAAAGTGCATGTCTCCAGACCAGCTATTTCCCCCAAGACCACACAGGAGAGCATATAGCTGAAGCCCTGCAGGATGTCCTCACTAACTAGAAGCTCAACCCAGCAGCACTGGTGGCTGTAGCAACTGACAACGGAGCTAATRTGGTGAAGGCGGTGCAGCTAAATAAATGGCAGAGGGTCCTGATGCATCTCAGTAATCCAGGTAAAAAATCAAAAGGAAAAAAAATTGTATAGGTCCTCTGGACRGGTTYTTCTTTAATGAAACGTTTCGTCTCTCCTCCAAGAGACTTCTTCAGTCTGAGAGTTTCAGGCAAAATTCAGGCTTTTGAGTCCTGCCTTCAGGTGACTGATACTC